TAAGATTAGTAAAGCTCAAGATAATCTTGTAATGGCATTAAGATTGAGGTTTAAAAAATTCGACTTTAAATAGACCTATTTTTATTAAAGTAATTTTTCTTACTTATGTTGGCAAATCGAATAATTTTTTCTTTTATCTTTTTATTACATTGTAAACTAGCAATACATTTGCATTCTAGTGGTTCTTATATGCATACTTTAAGCTAGTAAAACTTAATACATTACACTTCTTTTAAATATTTGGATAAGGAAAGTATATTAAGGCTTGAGGAGAATTTCACATGCATGGTAAATTATTATAAGTTAATTATTTTCCACTCTAAAATAAATGGAGCACTTACCAAGCTTTTAGCTAAAACTATGCTCACATACATGGATATAAGGCATCTGAAAAATCGTTTAATTTGGACAGGTAACATCGATTTTTAAGTAGGGAGTTCATATGAGGACATAAATATGCTATAAAAAATGTTTGCAAAACGCATAAATACCTAAAAATAATTTACCTAAAAAGATAAAGAACTACACAGTTTTTCACCGAAGAATATCTATATAATTATAAATCTAAATTAATCTAGGTGAAGGGATGAAATATACTGTGATAAAACGTAGCTAACTAAAACAGTAAAAGTCAATAATTTATCCATGCATAAAGGTTTATACATACACGAGCTTTGATATTTGATTTAGTCAAAAGCTAACATAATATTTGTTAAAATAATATATTATTTCTAAAATACCTAACTATTGCGACGAATTAAATTAACGTATTGTAAATTATTCTCAAGCCATATGTATATTCTTAATTTCATCAATACTAAAAATGCATGCAATTATTAAAAATATGATAATATTTTATGAAAATCATAATTTAAAAGGGTAATTACTTGAGGAATTGTCAGAAACTGTAGAAGTCGAGCGGTACTGCTCATTACCTTGGAAGAGAGATATCATATTAATGCGAAGGATAAAAAGTGAAGCTAAATGTTAGGTAAATAAACCACTTAAAATTTCATAACTTTTATGCATTTCTATAGATAAATTTTTTATTAATAAATCAAAAAATACTAATATGTGTTTTAATTAGCTAAATAAATTAACATTTTAAGGTCTAGTTTAATGCGCGCATTTTAGTCTTCGTAGGCTGTTTATTTTCATCGACTATGTCTGGTCCACCTCCCTTTCCTGGTAGTGCATACGGCTCTCAACAACCGCCGTATTCTGATGGAATGCCTCCTCATAGTTACCCTCCAGGAGGATACCTTCCAGGATATTCTCCTGGGGGATACCCTCCTGGGCCTGCTCCCCAACAATCATTTGGACTCAACCCTCCTCCTAATAATCCTTACCAAAATTTTAATTATTCTGCACCACAACCTGGATATGGACCTCCAGGGATGAATTTACCTTCTACTCAACGTACATTAAACCTGATTTTAAATATTTAGTGAGGGGAATTGAATTTATCTTTATGATTTTTTATTTATCTTATTTCAGCAAATTGGATGAATCGTCCTCTTGTACCGAATTGCCCACCTGGGCTAGAATATTTAACATTGGTGGATCAGCTTCTCATCAAACAGAAAGTCGAAGTTCTCGAAGGTTGATTTATTTAAATTTTTTAATTAGTTTAAATTATCCTATGAGATAATACTATACATTTG